AAGCTGTTCTGCAGAGCGGGCACTAGTATGAAGAATGTCCGCCTTGTTCCTTATGAGATCACCTTTCCCTGAAGAGTAGCATCTGAGACCTAAGAACCCTGGAAGAATGCACATGTGTGCATATTGCCCATTTCAGTGCATTGGGATCTGTGGATCAGGTGAAAGTGTGTCCAAAGCTCTGTGAGTAGGGGATAGCAGTCTTTCCTTCTCACCAGCAGTGATCTTGCCTGGGCATGATTTCCAAGTGCCTCAGCCGGCCTTCCCACCCCAGCGCAGCCAATACTCCACTGGTATTTTCATTGGAATTGGTTCAGAAGCCAAACACAAGGGTGCGGAAGAATAAACCAAACAAAAGAAAGCGTGACGTTTACATTTGCTGGAGATTAAATCTGTGTTGATCAAACAAGAAGGAACTGAGATGTAGGGAGATCTGTGCGTTTTTAAGTTATGTCTGTCTGACTTCAGGGTTCTTAACTCATACCTGTGCTGTTTAACAGCTGCTGTTTGTTGTATCTTTGGTTTTGGGCACAGGTGTTGTACGAGCTTCCCACCAGCACCCGGTGGTGCTTTGACGTCCAGTGGTGTCCCAGAAACCCCGCTCTCCTCTCTGCAGCTTCATTTGACGGGCGGATCAGTATCTACTCCATCATGGGCGGAAGCACAGACAGCTTGAGGCAGAAACAGGCCGATAAGGTACTGAAAACAAAATGTAAAATGGGAGGAATGCAGAGGGGTGTTTTTTTGGGGGGGGGGTGGGGAGTTAATTTATTTTTATTAGAATAATCTGTAAACAAGCCTGAACTGTCCCTAGAAGCTAAAATGGCTAAACAGAGGCTATCGTACTTTGGTCACCATATAAGAAGACAAGCGTCACTGGAAAGGACAATCATGCTAGGAAAAGCCGAAGGCAGCAGGAAAAGAGGAGGATCCAAGATGAGATGGATTGACTCCGTCAGGGAATCCACAACCCTCAGTTTGTGAGACCTGAGCAAGGCTGTTAATGATGTGACATTTTGGAGGACATTGATTTATAGGGTCACCATATGTCAGAAGAGAGTTGACAGCACTTAACGCACACATCTGTAAACAAACAAGGCCACCACGCTTGTGAAGAAAAGAACCATTCTACATAATAAAATGCCAAGGTTGAGGATAAACATTGTTCATAAAAACAGTCAATGCAGGGCCATAGTGGAGAAACATTTAATCAATCATTGCAATGCCATATGACTCTAAATATTTTCATAATCTCCAAATAGTATGAATAAACCATTAGGTACGACTAAGAACTGTGGGCTTAGTGACCCCCTCTGGCTTGACATTGTTTCAGTAGTTTGTAAAGATCATCTTTGTTCAAACAAAATCTGGGTATTTTTACCCATTAATTTTAGTTTTTTGCAGACTGATATCTTAACCAGTATGGACATTTTTTGTTAATCATGATGAGTTGCCTTGGAATATCTGCAACTGCCAAAAGTATTATGGTCCCTTGGAGCTTGTTCACATAGGATTTAGAGGTTACCTTGAGATAACAATCCTTGCTCCAATGTCTCTTCTTTGCTGACTAATCTGGATACTTTACAAGACAATAGATTTCCATATGGAGCTGTAAACGCCACCTGCTTTAGAATAGCTACAACTGCCAAAACCTATTATTTATATTTATTTATATATTCAATTTGTACCCCTTGGAGATTGTTCACATAGGATTCAAAGGTTACCTTGAGATAACAATCCTTGATCCAGTACCTCTTCTTTACTGACTAGTCTGGGTACTTTACAAGACTCTAGATTTCTGTACGGAGCTGTAAACCGTGCCTGCCAAATTTTCATTTTCATTTTTTTTAAAAAATGAGGCTCTTGATGTTAACAGGCACCAGCAGCTGTTTATCTCAGTGCAGCTGAACGTCTGCATTAATCAGAGACAAAATGAGTTCAGGAGTAGTTATCTTGGTGTAACCAACTGTGTAAACTGCACTCTGAGATGGTCACGACATGAGCTTTTGGTGAGGTCATGGCCATCAGCAAAAGTAACCTTTCTTTTCTTGAAGCTGTCCTCATCCTTTGGGAACCTCGACCCGTTTGGAACAGGGCAGCCTCTTCCTCCTCTGCAGCTTCCGCAGCAGACGACTTCCCAGAGCATGGTCCTGCCTCTGAAGAAACCACCCAAGTGGATTCGCCGACCAGTGGGTGCAACCTTTTCAGTATTTGGGAGCAGGAATAAAAACAGGAATGTCTGTATCCAGTGATATTATTCGGGTTTTCAATTCTCACTGCATGACGTATTATAGCTTTCTGTGTCTTGGCACATGTATGTGCATAGTATTTATTTACAACATTTAGTAACTGCCTTTCTTCCATACAGAACTGAGGGTGGCTTACCATATAGATAAAATAAAATCCATAAAAAGAAGCAGAATTTAAAATAATAATTTAGGACCGCTCATAAAGCAAATGCAGTCCAAAATAAAAACTGTCTTCAACTGCCTCCTAAAGTTCAAAAGCAAGGGGGCCAGGTGCACCTCCCTGAGGAAGTTGTTCCATAAAAGAGCCAGTTTGGTGTAGTGGTTAAGTGCGCGGACTCTAATCTGGGAGAACCCGGTTTGATTCCCCACTCCTCCACTTGCACCTGCTAGATGACCTTGGGCAAGTCATAACTCTGGCACAGTTGTTCTTGAAAAAGAGCAGTTTCTGTCAAGAGTTCTCTCAGCCCCACCTACCTCACAGGGTGTCTGTTGTGGGGAGGGGAAGGGAAAGGAGTTTGTAAGCCGCTCTGAGACACCTTTCGGTAGTGAAGGGCGGGATATAAATCCCTCCTCCTCCTCTTCCTCCTCCACCACCACCCCGTGTTTCAGACCCTTCGTCTTCTTCGTCGTCTTCGTCGTCTTCTTCGTCGGCGTCTTCTTCGTTGTCTTCTTCGTCGTCTTCGTCATCGTCGTCTTCGTCGTCTTCTTCGTCTTCGTCTTCTTCGTCTTCTTCGTCTTCGTCATCGTCTTCTTCATCGTCTTAGTCTTCTTCATCGTCATCTTCATCTTCTTCTTCTTCATCATCTTCTTCTTCTTCATCATCTTCTTCTTCATCGTGGAGCTGCCACTGAAAAGGCCCTGTCTCGTGTACCCACCAAACAAGCTTCTTGGATTGGTGGGACAGTCAGGAGGGCCTTTCCCTGTGATCTTCATTTCTGGGCAGGAACATATGGGAGAAGACAGTCCTTCAAATACCCCAGTCCAAAGCAATGCAGGATTCTAAAAGTTAAAACCAGCACCTTGAATTGGGCTCGTGAGCTGATCATTATTGTAGTAGCAGGGTCTCATGTTCCTGAGAGCTGGACCCAACCAGCAATCTAGCTGCAGCATTCCACATTAGCTGCAGCACAAGAAAGCAATGCATTGCTTTCCATGTTGTCCTGGTCCACTGACCGCTCATTTTGAGGATGCATATGGGTTTCCATCGGCAGGCAGCATCATTCCAGCACCTCTAGTAGGTTTCCGCTGCCTTGAACCTTGAGTGTGTCTTTGCCATGGGCTGCCTCCTGGTCTCATGAGTCATACGTTTACCTTTGAGCCAGTCGTCTACTTTTCTTGGGATACAGCGAAGGAGCTTTCTCAGTCTCTTTTCTTGGGATTCAGTTGACAGCTTGGTTTCTGTGTTGTCAGTATAATTTATAATCTTCTCTAGCTTGTTATACAGCAAACGTACCAGCACCTCTAGTAGGTTTCCGCTGCTTTGAACCTTGAGTGTGTCTTTGCCATTGGCTGCCTCCTGGTCTTATGATTCATACGTTTACCTTTGAGCCAGTCGTCTACTTTTCTTGGGATACAGCGAAGGAGCTTTCTCGGTCTCTTTTCTTGGGATTCAGTTGACAGCTTGGTTTCTGTGTTGTCAGTATAATTTATAATCTTCTCTAGCTTGTTATACAGCAAACTTATAGATGGGGAATGTGATTCCCCTTTTACAAGTGGAGAATTCAGAATAGCTCGTCTAAGGCCACCCAATAGAAATCAAATTGTGCACACAGGGTGCTTTTGGTGGGCTTCCTTCCCCACCCCAGCCATGGATTCAGTCATGCTTTGGTTTGGTGTAGCGGATAAGAGCGTGGACTCTAATCTGGAGAACTGGGTTTGGTTTCCCACTCCTCCGCATGCAGCTGCTGTTGTGACCTTGGGTCAGTTACCAGTTCTTTCAGAGCTGTTCCCTCAAGCACAGTTCTCGAGAGAGCTCTCTCAGCCCCACCTACCTCACGGGGTGTCTGTTGTGGGGAGAGGAAGGGAAGGGGATTGTAAGATGCTCTGAGACTCTGAGTGAAGGTAAAGGTAAAGGTTCCCTTGCTCGAAAGCCAGTCGAATCCGACTCTAGGGTTGCGGTGCTCATCTCCGTTTCAAAGCCGAAGAGCCAGCATCACTTGAGCCACCGCAGCTCCTTCTGAGTGAAGAGCAGGGTATAAATCCAACTCTTCTTCTCCTTTATATGGAGTCAGCTACCACAAGCCATAAATAGCCTGGGGAGGTTTGCTGTGTCTTTTGTGGAACTGCAGTGAGTGAGTGTGGCACTCAGTCCAGACAGTGTCTCTCCATTAAAACAACATAGTCTGGAGAGGGGAAGAAGAAGCCAATCACAAGCTCATGGAACCACCGCAGCTCCTTCTGAGTGAAGAGCAGGGTATAAATCCAACTCTTCTTCTCCTTTATATGGAATCAGCTACCACAAGCCATAAATAGCCTCCACTCAGTCCGTATTTGGGGAGGTTTGCTGTGTCTTTTGTGGAAATGCCGTGAGTGTGGCACTCAGTTCAGACAGTGTCTCTCCATTAAAACAACATAGTCTGGAGAGGGGAAGAAGAAGCCAACCACAAGCTCATGCGCATCATGTAACCGATCCAGGGTTGAGCATACATTCGTCATCGTTAGAGTACTTGCTGCCTGCTAAGTTCCTCACAAAGATAAGGATGGGTTGAACTAGGATCTCCTTCCCTTGCAGTCTTGCTCTTTTCTCAATGGTAGAACGCAAGCTTCGTTCTACCAAGCATTTCCCCTCCGCTCTGATCAATCTGATCACAGGATGCCATCGTACCTTTGCATCCTTTACGAGCGTTCTTTGCACCACGCTTCCTACCTTCTTCCTGTGATGAAAAGATGATACAGAAAATAATCTTAAAAATAACAAAGGTTAAAATTGAGTTGTCCCCGGAAATTGTATTGTTAAATATGTTACCAGAGGGTTATAGATGGAAGGATAAACACATCATAATTTATATACTTACAACTGCAAGAATTCTGCTAGCCAGATTTTGGAAACAGGAATATATCCCTAAGCAAGATGATTTAGTGTGTAGATTGTTAGAATTGGCAGAGAAAAAGTGTTTGCGGAAAGGTGGAAGCGTTTATATGAATGGATTAATTCAAGCGGATAGTAGTAGACTCCAGGATAATTATGAAGATATATGTGTGATAGATATGTATTTTATGAAAAATGAAAATAAAACTGTTTAAAAAAATATGTTAATTTAGAAGAAAAAGAAGAAGAGATTGGATTTATACCCCGCCCTTCACTCGGAGTCTCAGAGTGGCTTACAAACTCCTTTCCCTTCCCCTCCCCACAACAGACACCCTGTGAGGTAGGCGTGGCTGAGAGAACTCTTTCCAGAACTGTCCTTGAGAGAACAGCTCTGAGAAAGCCCAAGGTCATCCAGCAGCTGTGAGTGGAGGGGAATCAAAGCCGGTTCTCCCAGATTAGAGTCCGTGCACTTAACCACTACACCAAACTGGCTCTCATTACCTAATTGATACTCCACCTTTCTCCCCTATGGATACACAAAGCACCTAGGGTCATTCTCCTCTCTTCCATTGTAGCCTCACAACAATCCTGTGAGGTAGGTTAGGCTGAATCTGTGTGACTGGCCCATGCTCGGCATAGCAGAGTGGGGATTTGAACCTTTGTCTTCCTGGGTCCTAGTCCGATACTCTAACCACTATGCTACACCGGTTAGAGAGTCTGATGCTGAACAGGGCTGTTGGTCTGACAGTGCAAAGCTGATCTTGCTGCCCCTTGCCCCGGGGCATGATTCTCTCTGGTCATTCCCACGTCACAAGATACCCCAGAGTTCAGCTTCCCCGTTCCTTCTGTGGCTTCCCTGTATGCTCTGTAAGCAGCTTGTGTGGAACTGAAGCAAAATCTCTTAGGCAAGAGCCACCTGTGTCAATGTCACAATAACCTGTCTTACAAGATAGGTATCCTGCCATCCACTTCCTCTAACATAAAGGCCGTTACGTTAGTGAAGATATTTGTGTTTTTATAGTAGAGGCAAACCGTTGCAGGAGGCACGCATGATTGCATCCAGCAACCAGTTTCCGCATGCTCAAGGCACTGTGCTAGTGAGAGAACATCAGTATAAATGTATGTTTATGCAGTAGTTCGAACTGATAATTTGCTAACGTTGTCAAAGAATGCATCTTCAAAGCCAGGGTACAGGAAGCGCTCACCCCTGCGCAAGATTAGGGGCCACGTTTCATGCCGCTGCTTGTGCAGTAACTCTCCTGCGTGAACTGATCACTGCTTACGTGGGGATGACGTCGACTGACGTGTCACTGGATACACACCGTTATTAGGGCTAATGAGATGCACGTGAGCACTTGGGGAAAACAGTCTCTGAATTCTGTTTTTGTTTGTGCATTTGCATACATTTGCAATTCTGAACTGGGAGGCGACAGAATAGAGGTTTGGGGCATCTGCGGGAAAGGAAAAGTTTTGCTTCTGAGTTCTTGTTCACTCACTGCCCCTTGCCTGCAGTGCTGGTTGCCTCCCAGTTCAGAATTGCACCTAGACCTCCATGTAAACACATTAGAGCTTTGTTTCAGCTGTGGGTCACTCAGTCCCTGCCGAGCAGTGGATCATGGCTGCCAGTCTTTGTTCTGAAGTACTAGGTATTAGCTTTAGACTTTGTACTTCAAGAACTGAGCATCTCGTTCCATGAATAGATTGTTTTCTCACTTTCAGTAGTTCCTGGCACTTTAGTGCTACAGCGTGTCACTTGTCTACTTTCTAGGCACGAAATCATATGCACAGTCCATAGCAGTTATTGTGACCTGTCCCAGTAACGTCCTTGACATTAGACCTCTGAGTGTCTTAAAGAGCACCTCTATCTGTCTGATCAGTTTAGCAAAATTGTGTTCTACTCTGCTTGTTCAGAGCAAAAGATAACTTTCCCTATTTTCTTGGGTATAGAAAGCCCATAACCTCACACCTGTCAAGTGTCTGGGATAAAAACACAGGTAAATGGCATCTTTATTTGGGGAGGGACTGTCACTCAGTAGGAGAGCATCTACTTGGCATGCAGAAGGTCCCGGGTTGAATCTCCAGCATCTCCAGTTAAAACGATTTGGCAGTAGGTGATATGAAAGACCTCTGCCCAAGACCCTGGAGAACCACTGCTGCCAGTCTGACTAGACAGTAATGACCTTGAGAGCCAGTTTGGTGTAGTGGTTAGGAGCGCAGACTCTCATCTGGGAGAACCGGGCTTGATTCCCCACTCCTCCACATGCAGCTCCTGGTGTGACCTTGGGTCAGTCTACAAGTTCTTTTAGAGCTGTTCTCTCTCAGCCCCGCCTACCTCACAGGGTGTCTGTTGTGGGGAGGGGAAGGGAAAGGGATTGTAAGCTGCTCTGAGACTCTTTCGGGTAGTGAAGGGTAGGGTATAAATCCCATCTCCTCCTCTTCCTCCTCCTCCTCTTGATGGATAAATGGTCTGATTCTGTATAAGGCATCTTCTTGTGTTCAAATACTGGAGATTACACATGTTAAACTAAGCCTAAGAATGTTGTAATGAATTTTAGTTGTTTCATGGTCTGATTGTAGTGATTTGAGGGGTATTTTGTTTGGAAAACAGGCTACATCAATTGCAGTGTGACGTAGGCGTAAGGTTTCCTGAACTCTAAAGAGTCGTCCGTTCTTTGCAGATCGCCCCATTCTTTGCAGCATCAGCAACAAAATAGCATAATTGACTCTGCCAGTGCAAATGTTGGCCATCGTTACCTATAGCTGTGGTTTGCAACCCACCTTCAGGTCCAGATTGAGGGCTAATCATGCATCTTACAAACATGCTGTCTTTTTGGAACACCCTTTTAAGACATTAGCATTTAATAGCAAGTGAACACACGTGAAACTGCCTTATACTGAATCAGACCACTGATCTATCCAGTTCAGTCTTGTCTACTCAGACTGGCAGCAGCTCTCTAGGGTCTCAGGGCAAGGTCTTTCACATCACCTACTGCCTGGTCCTTTTGACCTGGAGATGCCAGAGACTGAACCAGGGACCTTCAGCATGCAAAGCAGAGGTTCTTCCACCAAGGCACGGCCCCTCTCCTAATCCGAGCGGTGTGTAAATCCTATCTCTGGCGTGCTTTTTGTTTCAGTTTGGAGGGAAGCTAGTTACATTTGAGAACACAAAGCCTCAGCAGCAAGGAGCCGAGCAGCAGCCGCAGCGCTATCACGTCTACGTCAGCCAGGTCGTCACCGAGAAGGAGTTCTTGAGCCGTTCCGACCAGCTGCAGGAGGCCGTGCGGGCAGAGGCGTTTGTTACCTATTGTCAGAAGAAAATCGATGCTGCCAAGAACGACTTTGAGAGGAACGTGTGGTCTTTCTTGAAGGTAATTAGGGACGGAGGTGGAATGTTAAAGGTCCCAGTTGTCGTAAAACTCATTGTTCAGATTGCTTTGTTTGTGTGTGAAAGGGAGAAAGAGTGATGGTGAATGAGAGGGACCCTTTAAATGTCACCCTAGCCTTTTGGGCACCACTCCTCTGTGAGCAGCTCCTATACAGCCAGGACAAAATTTAAATGACCCAACCATGTGGTCAGGATCAGGGACCAATTGTGCAGATCTTGATCCTCTGAATGGGCATCCTACAAGGAAGGAGAGATACCAGTTCCGTGTTAAGGACTCCTCTGATGAGACCCCGCTACTGCCGGTGGGTCATTTAAAGGGTATCTCGGCTGAGCAAGTTGATTCTGCTCAGCTAGAACGTTTTAAAAGGCCCTTTTTGCAGGCAAAAGGTTAGGCACAGGAAGCGAGTAATTTTCATTGTGAAATCATCACTGGGTGGTGGTTGCCTGAATGGAGTGCAGTTTTGTGAAGCAGGCCAAGCGTACCCATCGTTCCACGCGTGCCGATCATCCTGGGCTTTTGTGGAGATTGGGTCATTGCAAAAGGCTTTTCCAGAAGTGTTCCTGTAAAGCGTGACCTTATGAAAACAGATCGAAATTTTCATGAGCTAACCGGGAAGAACAAGACGTCTTGGCAGCACTATAAGCTTGTTAGATCTGGTCCCAGGTTATACGCTCCTTGAATGCTGGGCGTACTCCTCTCTGGTTTTTACACTCACTCAGTTACTAGTGCCTGAATTCCCAATCTCATCTGTAGCCTTAGGCAACGAGGCTTGCAGTTCCAGTGGGGACAATGTGTGCTGCACTACCTCCACCTCTGGTTTGAGGAACACTGTGATTATAGATTCCCTTTATGCATTTTATATCTTGCTAAAATAGCCTATTTTCAATTGCAGCAAAAAAAAATTTTCCCCAAGATAAATGGGATAAGGAGATAGAACAAAATGAAAATCAAATCTGTTTTTAAAATATCCCCATTCTTGTGGTTTTGTTTTTTTCTTACCAAGGTGCATTTTGAAGAGGATTCGCGTGGCAAGTACCTAGAACTCTTGGGGTACAAGAGAGAGGACTTGGGGAGGAAGGTAAATGTGCACAGAAGCTGTTGGCATCTCAAGAGACTTCTCAAAGTGTTCAGGAACATCCGTCACAATATTATGTACTCCGATGTTGGGATGTGTGGACAGGTGGCAACTCTGTGCCCCCAATTGAAAGTTTACAGCATAAGTTGTATTGTGGACATTATGTACTCCTTTGATAACCCACAGAGGTTTGCTTTGGTAACTGTGTTTGTTATTTATTTCCTTTTCGAAACAAAGTCCCCCCCCCCCCAAAGAGCAGTCAACTCCTTAGAAAGGTGTCTAGCAGCAATCATAATTTGCCAGCGGCGAGTTGCAACCTACCCTGGAAACGCAGCCGTGTGGCACAGTACGCAGTAGTCCCACCCTTTTTTCCCAGGTGCACACCTGCCCTACAGCCCCCTCGTTGTCCTTCTGCCATTTCCTTCTCTTTCTGCCACAACAGAGTCAGGGCTAGGGGGATGGAAACCCAGGTAAAAATCAAACTGGGAAACAAGTAAACGGGGAGAGGCAGTCTGAGAATAGTCTGTGCTTAATTAAGCAAGGTTCTTCAGACAGAGAAGCCAAGCTAGAGTCAGCAGGTGATTGCTCTCTGGAGTTGCTTTATCTCTCTACAAAGTTATTAGCTGCAATACCACTCCCTGTCTACATGCAGTGGTGGCGCTGTAGTGCACCAGAAAGCAGGCCGGCTGCTCACTCTGCAAATGAGCTGTCATGATGGCCACAGAGTGAAACCTCTGGTTCTTCCTGCCAGACACTTTGTACGCCTCTGGAGCTTTGCAGACACATACTGCTTTTTCCTCCTGTACATGTAGTTCTCTGACAACTGGGCATCATCAGGATTTTCTTTTTTTCCCCTCCCTAGTGATAAGATTTGTTAGCATCGTGCATCACCAGTGACCTTTAAAAAGAAGCTGGTTGAGCATTTGCTAGCGGTGACAGCAGAGCACAGACCAGACACAGTTCCATAATCTTTTTTAATGTTCAGCGTTCCAAGGAATTCATTATTCCTAATAATACAAAGGCAGCATTTGTCAAGGGACTGCTAAAGTATGTGTTTGGTTTGCAGAGGTGTTTCAGCTTAAACGTGCATCAGCTTAATCCCAGGTGCTTGTGTGCCGGCTGTGGTTATTCACTGGTCGATGGAACATGTTCCTCTCCATCTGAGTTTTATATCCCTCACACTTTAAGTATTTTTTTTTCCTTGTAGGTCTCTGTTGTATATTCTCTAATAACTGTTCTGCTCCACATGGAGAAAATAAAATAAATAGGCTTCGGACAGACGCACGCCCGACTTTAGGAAACAGCGGTTTCCATATGAGATTAACATACAAATGAGTAAACCTTTCACTAAGCAACAGGGATATCATTGTGGGGCTATTTCAAGCAGCGTGTAAAAAAGGATTTGAGCTGTATTTCCGGTACCATTCGGCAAACGGAGACTGTTGGAGTTCTTTGCTCTGTTCTCCAAGATTAAAGGTAAAGGTTCCCTTTCTCGAAAGCCAGTTGAGTCCAACTCTAGGGTTGCGGTGCTCATCTCCGTTTCAAAGCCGAAGAGCCAGCGCTGTCCGAAGACGTTTCCGTGGTCATGTGGCCGGCATGACTAAACTCCAAGGCGCACAGAACGCAGTTACCTTCCCACCGAAGTGGTCCCTATTTATCTACTTGCAATTTCTTGCTTTCGAACTGCTAGGTTGGCAGGAGCTGGAGCCAGAAACGGGAGCTCACTCCGTCATGCGGCAACCCAGGTCTTGAACTGCTGAACTACTGACCTTCCACAGCCTGCAGTTCAGCGTCTTAACCACTTGAGCCACTGCAGCTCAATGGTACCTATTAATTAATAATGATTTATCTCCAAGATTAATGGTACCTAATTTCTCCCTCCTCAGATTACATCAGCTCTCAATAAGGAAAGCCTTCATCACAGAGAGGAGGAGGAGGTAAGAAAGCAAATGCGACTGTATTGTCACAGGGGTTTGATAAGCACTGGAAGTGAGCTTCTTTCCACCACCAGAGCTGTGTTCCCCTTGCAGACCAGTCCTTGCACCAAAATGTGCAAATCATCAGCATCGGCTTTGCTTACATTCTGGAAATTCCACTTCATGTGCTAATGGTTCATAGCAAGAAAAGGGAAATGGGGGAAAAAAACTTTGTAGCTGTGTAAAAAAATAATTTGTGTTTTGATGTGTCCCATTACTCAGTTCACAGGAGAGGGATTCATCTTGACGTGACTTTATGCTTTGTCATTTCTATGTCGGTGCTTTTTGCAAACTCCTTGTCGTCTCAGCTGCATTTGATGTGGGTGTCCTAACAGTGTAATCTCTCTCTCTAACCTTTCCAGGTTCCTCTGGAATTACCAGTCTTTGCCTGCACAGAGCTAGTGCTCCTTTCTTGAATGTTCTGAATTTTATATATACCTTAAAGCAAGTTGGCAATATTTTTCTTAAATAAAAAAAAGACAGCTAAGGATTTTTTTCTTTTGGTAGCATGTGGTTTTGACAGGAACCAGAGCAGCACAGCCAAACCTACACCACAGAGAGAGAAAAATAGCCAGGCAACTATAGATAGTAGAATTGTCCCACTGTTGCAGAAGCCCCACTTTCCTCGCAGAACTTGCTTGCCTACAATACCACTTTCTGTCTACATGCAATGGGGGCGGTATAGCACACTGGAAAGCAGTATGGCGACTCTCTCTTCAGGCAAGCTGTCATGGTGGCAATAGACTTTTTATCATCTGCAGCTGGCCAGGAAGAATGGCTGCACCTTTGAAATGGGGTGGCTAAGAGCATGAGCTATGAGCCAGGAAGTCGCTGGTTCAAATCTCCCCTGGGCTGCAATTTCATTACTTTTAGGCAAGCCAATATTCTTTCAGCCTTAGGTGTCCCAATCATATTTTGGACACTTGCAGTGCCTTTTTTTTAACCTTGTGCGTTTTTTAAGGCAGGAGGTCTATCAGTGGCTATTAGCCACAAGGTATAGATAGGAACTCTGGGGCAAGTGATGCACTGTATTCTTGGTGCTGGGGGGGGGCGCAACAGTGGGAGGGCTTCTGGTGTCCTGGCCCCACTGCTGGACCTCCTGATGGCACCTGGTATTTCTGGCCACTGTGTGACAGAGTGTTGGACTGGATGGGCCATTGGCCTGATCCAACATTGGCTTCTCTTATGTTCTTATGTTCATTCAGAGGTGGTTAGCCATTGCCTGCCTCCATGTAGTGACCCTGGACTTCCTTGGTGGTCTCCCATTCAAACACTGTCTAGGGCTGACCCTGCTTAGCTTCTGAGATCTGGCAAAATCAGGCTGGCCTGGACTATCCAAGTCAGAGAAGTGTCTTAGATAAACCCATTTTTGTTGTTATTCCTCTGCAGTAAGTAAACCTAGTATTAACTGGGCTAAGCAGGAATCCTTGTGTATGGACATTGTTCGGCTCATGGCTTCCTGATGTTTTCTGCCTTCACCCCACCCCCTTGAATTCTTTTGTTCCCTTTTCCCGTCCCCTCCCAACGTCTCTTCATTCTCTCTCCCTCTCCCCCATTTTTTCAGTCCCCCCCCCTTTTCTCCTTTAGCTCACACATCATCTCTTTTACGCTCTGCAAGAGTAATAGATCCCATGTCCAGCTTGTTCCAAGAACGCCAAGCTTCTCTGTCACAGTATGGCAAGGGGCTTTCATTTCAAGCTGCCAGCTGCTCACTGTGATGTGGTTTCTACCAAACAATCCTGAGTCTGAGCACAAGGCAAGGCGCTTGGCCGCTGAACTGTCACCCCGAAGATTCTGTTGTCTTTGCTTGTTGTTCTTGTGCAGTTTTAGTAAGTCAGGCAGCATTTCTTCATCCGATTGTCACCTCTGCAGAGGCTTGCCCTCCCGCTCCTTTGTGTGGGCTGCAGATGTCTTTCCACAACTGTACGTTTCGACAGCCATTAGTCACCGACTGTATAAAAGAAGGAAGATCTTCTTTTGTTCTTCCTAGAACTGCAGTGTTACTAACCAGGGATCTTTTGGGGGAGGTTGTTGGTGTCGGGTTGGGCTGGGCTGGGTTATCTGCCTTGGCATCTTTCACTTTGCTGAGCATCTTTGAAACATCCTGTTCTCTTCTCTGTGAAAGACTCTTGAGGAATCTGACCAGCCTGCACAGAGTGATGGTGAAGAGGGTCTGGTTGACAAGGATCAGCTCTTGGGAGAGGTACTCCTTCTCTTCTGTTCTGACTATGCTAGATGAGTGGATGCTTATTAACTTATTCCTGATTACTCTGTCACTTTCTAACATGCCTAAATATGTATACCAGGGGTCCCCAACGTGGTTGGATAAGGAGTCTTTCTTCCTCCTCCCAGCTAGGAAAAAACTATGAAGCCCTCAAGTTGTTCAGTTTCCAAAAAGGGGAGAGAGTGGCTGGCTTTTAGATATATAAGCCACATCCAGTTACCTGGGCTTCCTCTGTATATGGGCTGTGTTGCCGATTGTCTGATGCTGACAAGTCGAAGAATGTCCTGAAATTCAGAAGGTCTTAAGTTTGCAGATTTTGCGTGCACTGAATTTGCCAGCAGGGCTCTTACCTGGCCTACCTGGTTGTGTTTCAGAAAACAAGACTTTCAGTTTTTTTCCTTTGACTTTGGAGTTTTCTGCTTACATGATCACTCACACATTTTCATTGTGAAGTCTTTTGCTACAGGAGACTTCATTCTCGCGTCAGCTGGATTTTTTAAAAAAATGTTTCTCTGCCTTGCTCCTTTTGTCACATGGGCAGCTATCCAAATCTGTGAACAGCAGGTTTTGATATGTTGGCATTTTAGCTGAGCAGAATGGATAGGCACAGTGCTCAAGGATTTGTACTTGAATGGGTGGGTGAGGGGGGGGGGATGGTAGACGAAATCGTGCTGATGTGACTTTTTGAAATCTGTGCCAGGCAGTGGTCGTGTTCATAACCAAGCAGTTTCTAAAGAAAAACACGAGCAGGAAAAAGTATCATATTCCCCCTGTGAAAATCCGTATTATTTTGATTTGGACTGATCTCAGAGAGGTTCTTTAGATCTCACTAAATGGCATTCCTTCTCCCCCTCAGAATGCGAAAGAAGAGACTGATGCCCTGTTGCCTACAAAGGAAACCTTTAACATTTCTGTTACTGGAGGTAAAGGAACTGCCTTTTTTTGACAAAACCATCCTGCTTGTGAGACTTAACTAGACTTGAACTTATTTTTGCAAAAGCATAGTGGTAGCTGAGAGTAATCTTGTAATCCTCCTTACTACAGATATCGATGGCCTTATTACTCAGGCACTGCTGACGGGTAACTTTGAGAGTGCTGTTGACCTCTGCCTCCATGACAATCGCATGGCTGACGCCATTATCCTAGCTATAGCTGGCGGCCAGGAGCTGCTGTCGAGGACCCAGAAGAAGTACTTTGCAAAGACGCGAGGCAAGATTACCAGGGTATGTAGGCTTTTAAATGGGAGGTATGGAAATAACTTGTGTCTGAATACCGTCGTTTCAAGCAAAAGTCCTGGCAGGCAGGCCTCCAGAAGAATTGGGTAATCTCAGGGTATGGTAGACAGGTTTCCATATGTACAAAGGTAAGTTAACATAGGATAGCTTTGCAGGTGGAGGGGATATATGGTGGATTTGAGTAAGAAGGGGCTACTGCATGTCTAACAGGGCCGATTTCTTATTGGCTGATAAGCACTCAAGAGCGGGCTGCAGGATCACAGGTTCCCGTCCCACACCCCTTGCAAACATGTGCCCTCCTTGCCTGCCATAACCACAGTTCATGTCTGTGTAAGCAGGAGGGTGTGTGTATGTGTGGATCAGCTATGAGAGCGAACTTGTGATCTACAGCTTGCTTGTGTTTTAGGGTAAGAATCCGGTCTCATTTTACGTTCGAATAATAGCTGTTCTAGTTGACCTCCCCAAAAATTCTCCTGTATAGGCATTTGGTTCTCTCGCACTTCAACTTTTCCTTCCTGTCTTTCTGTATTGAGCTAGAGCTGTATAAGAGTTTCTTTCTGTCGCCACAGAGATGCAAGGAAAAAACCCTAAGAATACAACGAGCCCCGTCAGCAATTAGCAGTGCATCAGAGAACATAAAGGGCAAATAACCCAAATTCCCATGACAGACACAGGGCCACTAGAATAGAACAACCCCTGTGGATCTCGGGCAATAACATGACCCATGCATATCTCCACCCGAGACTTCTGCTATAAGTGTCTGGACAGATATCAATAGAAAGATAACTGGCAGGACGGAAACCAACCTAAGGACATCTGGCAGCAATACAGTCTGCGTGAGACACACACTTGCAAAGTGCAGATTCTTCGAAGGCCAACTTGGGGATTGGCAAAGACTTGTCTTGTTGAGACTGGATATTTTTGGTACCCAGTCTAAAGCCATAATGTGCTGGTCTCAGCCACATATGTGAAGAAAAGGGGAGGAAGGGAAGGCAGTGGAGAGGTATGTTACGAGCAGCCACATAGCCAGAAATGTTGGGTTGGTAGGGCATGGGGAAATGTTGTGGGGGAGAAGGGCGGGCACACACCTTCCCTGAACTCCTTTAAATGTCCCCCCCCCCCAAGAGGGGGCTGCCCATGCCTGAACTTCAAGCAGCAAAATCGCCGCTTGGATTTCTGGGAAGGTGTGTGGCTGCCCCCCTCCCCCACTTCCTGCAAGATTTAAAGGGCTCTCCAGCCGATCAGCTGGAGGGCCCTTTTAATGTCACAAGGAGGGAGGGAGAGGGAGAGGAGCAGCAGCTGTTATCAGGCATGCCACACATTTGGGGGGGGCAGAGCCTCGAAATGCTCCACTGTAGCTACGGGCCTATGTACGGGCTGACATGCCCCATAGGGAAATGGGCAGTTCTCTTCTATTCTACAGTTTAGTTAAAAAACAAACTCTTATACAGCTCTAGATCAGCTGTACCCCGATGGAGTTGGCTTCTCTTCCCGAGCAGCCTTCCCTCTCGGTCCCACATGTTTGTTTCCCCAACATGTTATCAATCTCAGTATTTGACAGCTGTTCACCGCCTCCTCAAGATTGAAGGCTTTGTTGTTTGTCCCTACAAAGGCCACGGGAGCTATAAGTCAAAAGTGAATCATTCTTCCTGTGGGAGGTGTCGATAAGTAATTCAAGCAGGCCCAGCTTCATGCAATCAGGTTCCTGAATTAGATTACCAGGATCCTGGAAATCCGAATGATTAAGGCAAAAGGTGTGTCTGGATTGTTCCAGTCTTGATACACTTGGCAGTTCCTGGAGAATAGTTCCTGGTGGCAGAGAGTCTACGGCTCGTACGTCTGTAGAAGTACCTGTAAGCAAGGTTAATGTACTGAAGCTTTGGAGTCTCTCCCCTTTTTACCTGTTCTCCTCCTCTTCACTTTTTCTTGACTCCCCCTGGTTTAGGAACTCAGTCTTCAGCTTTGTATTAAACCCATTGCTTTGAAGAGAAGACCAGTGGTAACCTAAAGATAACAAAACTCATTGTGGCATAAGCTTTTGAAAGTCAGAATTCACTTCATGAAAGCGTATGTTGGGGTGGGGTAAAGTTACTGGTCCTTCAGGGTTCCGTTGGACTTCTGTTTAGTTTTGCTGCAGCAGACTAACACGGCTGTCCCTCTGGAACGATGTTTAGTTTGCATCTCTTGGCTTTGAAATGTCTATGTTGTGAAATCTTGACATGTATACACTTGAATTTTTCGAAGGAGAAAATATTACAGTGTAGTCCCCAGCCTTCTTACATAGTTATACCAGAGACAGTGGCGCTGCATTCAGATGTATCAATAGTTGCGGTTTATAAACCAGGGTTTGATCAAAGCCTGGTTAGTTGCGGCATCTGGATACAGACACAGCTGAACAAACTGGGTTTTGGTGGCTTGCGCTGAACTGGGATCCCAAACTCGGGTTTGTCGTGAGATCCGCTAACCACAATTTGTGATTATTATAACTTGTGTCAAACAACAGTTTTTTGAATTGTGCCATCCTTGGCAGCTGTCTGATTCCTGAGATGGCAGTATAGGGAGGATTTCCTCCCTGTGCGAGACAGAAGGAAGCAGGCAAGCCAAGTCTTACTCAACTTCTGAAGGCAAGGGGGGGTCTCCTTTTTCTCTTCTTTTTCCAGCTCATCACTGCTGTTGTGACCAAGAACTGGAAGGAAATAGTGCAGTCGTGTGACCTGCAGAATTGGAAAGAAGCTCTGGCTGCAGTGTTGACTTACGCTAGGCCGGATGAATTTGCAGCTCTCTGCGGTAAGGAAAAGCAGGCACGGACAGGCGGTCTATTGTTCGACCAGAGCACCTTTCCCTTCATTTAATTAGGATCCAGTTCTTGCAGTTTATATCCGGTGTCTTACAGTGCACTTCATTAGCTGCCTACTCCGTAGCACTTGTTAAATGTGTGTGTGTTTATAATATTGTTACCATACTTTCCCACCACATATGGACTTCAAGTTAGCTTCCAAATTCTATAAAAGCCATACCAAAAAAAATAGTGATACAAGGAGAAGCACAAAAGGCCTAGGGGTCTTCACCCTTCATCACCCCTACAGGGGCGGCCCAGCATCTGTTGGGGTCATGCAGGAGATACACTCTCCCCTGCCACCACCCAGAAGCCAGATGTTGTGTCTCCAGGGAAAATTTCTCCCCCAGTGCAGATATCAATCTGCCTCAGAACCCAGTTCTGTTCTTATCAGTAGCGTCTTAAGAAGGTAGTATTCATTTACCTAATTTATACTCCACCTTTCTCCCCATTGGGGGGACCAGAGCAGCTGACGTCATTCTCCTCTCTGTTTATCCTCACAACGACCCTGTGAGGTAGGTTAGGCTAAGTATGTGTAACTAGCCCAAGGTCACCCAGCAAGCTTCCATGGCAGAGTAGGGATTCGAATCAGGTTCTCCTAGTTCCTATTCTGACACTAGAATGACAGTAGTTTTCTGAGAGGGAAGGTGGTGTTTCCAGTTTTTTCTGCCTGCATTTGGATGTTCTTCCTCTCTTGAGCTTGAGTGGCCGGAGGGTAAACAGGTCCCTCTTTAAGAAGAATGTTTCTGAGCTTACAGCATTCCATGGGTCCATAATCGGAAGGAGTCCCAGCAAGATGCAGGCCGTCAGAGCAAACAGAGTTTTGGCTCAAATCTGCATTAGCCTTTAGGGACTCTTCTTTGAGACGCTGTTCCCCTCCACTCAATGTGGGACTCCTGAGTCTTGAGCCACTGCAGTTTTAGAATCGGTGACTCTTTGTACCTGCTGATAGGGGCAAAAAATGCTCCTGGAACAGATACACTCCACTGCCTTTCCGTCTCAGTTCAGGTAACCCTCCAGTTTGGAAGATCATGAATGTGCCATGAGCACATGTACTCCCATCTCCCCTTTCATGTGCTGTTTCTGCTTTTCTGGGTTGCTCCTGTCTTTATTCGCCATCCTGTCCAAATTGGGCAAAACCATGGCTTGAAAACTGGTGTCAGTGGTTTGGGGATGACCACGCGCTGTAGTTTGGCCAGTTCCGATGTGAAAACAAGCTGTGGTTGAAGGAAACCGGAACTGATACTCCTTCACTGGTTCTCCTTCCTGTTATGGACCAGTGAAATTCTGAAGGCTTAGAAATAGTCTTCCTAAAATAAGGCTGGGGGGAATATTTACTGTGTAGCCACTGAAGCACAAAAGAAGAGAAAGGGAAAATAGAGGGAGCAAGTGACCCTCTTGTACATTCTTGATCTTCCAACCCATTATTAGAACATAAGAAGAAGAGAGAAGAGATTGGGTTTATACCCTGCCCTTCACTACCCAAAGGTGTCTCAGAGCGGCTTACAAACTCCTTTCCCTTCCCCTCCCCTCCCCTCCCCTCCCCTCATCTTGACAGAAACTGCTCTTTTTTCAAGAACAGCTCTTATCAGGCTTGCCCAAGGTCATCCAGCCAGGTGGAAGAGTGGGGAATCAAACCCGGTTCTCCCAGATTAGAGTCCACGCACTTAACCACTACACCAAACTGGCCCTGCTGGATCAGACCAGTGGTCCATCTAGTCCAGCATCCCGTCTCACACAGTGGTCAACCAGTTCCTCTGGAGGGCCAACAACAGGACATAGAGGCTGAGGCCTTCCCCTGATGTTGCCTCATGTCTCTGGGATTCAGAGGACTCCTGCCTCTTAATGTGGAAGTTCCCTTCAGCCACCATGGCTAGTAGCCGTTGATACTTATCTTTCATGAATCCCCTTTCAAAGCCGTTTATTCCAGTGGCCATCATTAGACCCTCTGGCAGCGAATTCCACATCTTAATCACTCTCTGTGTAAAGCAGTATTGCCTTTTGTCTGTCCTGAGCCTACTGCCTGTCAGCTTTATTGGCTGCCCCCGAGTTCTAGTACTTTGGGAGAGGGAGAAAAATTTCACTTTCTCAACTCTCTCCACCCCGTGCATAATTTTATAAACCTCTTATCATGTCCCCCCCCCCCCCTTAGTCGTCTCTTTTCTAAACTGAAAAGTCCCAGACTCTTTGAGGGGCTGGGACATTATTTCCGAAGGAATCTCTGCTGTGCCTTTAACAATTTTTGATGTTTGTTGCATTGGTTCGCATATGCGTATATTTCCGTGTCTCTTCTTTCTGATTCTTAGATTTATTGGGTACTAGACTTGAAAACGAAGGGGACAGCCTTCTGCAGACCCAGGCTTGCCTGTGTTACGTCTGTGCTGGGAATGTCGAGAAACTCGTCGCCTGTTGGACTAAAGCTCAGGGTGGAAACAACCCACTCTCTCTCCAGGTTAGCATCCTGATTGATAAAGAAAGGTTATATAGGCCCCATTTCTGGTATGTTCCCTGTGAGCCGCCTGGCATTTGCAGTTAAAAGCCGAAAGTTAAAAAATGTTGTACGCTTTGGGAAGCCCTTTCCAGTATGTCACCTTTCCTTTAGAAAGCAAACTGTGGGTTCCAGTGACTAAAACAGTGAACAGTTCAGCATGTTCAGCAGCCCACTCCTACCCTCATAAGATGTTCTGGTAGCAGCTGCAAAAAAGAAACACTGATGAAGACACGTGGTTTTTTTTACCACTGACATTCTCTCAAGCACCTCAGAAGAGGCCGTTTTGCTGTAGTGTTTTGCCATCGTGCACCCAACGCCTTTCTTGTTTATTTTGAATGAAAAGCTGTTCAGCTGCAGAGTTACACCTTGACATTCTCCTTATTGTGCTTGCGGAAACAAACCCCTGGGCGTCATGGGCTTGCACCGTGCTCACTAAAGCGCTGTCTGTGCCCTTGCACAACACGTGCTGCATGACTTCTCCCTACAGGATGGGGCCATATGCTGTACTACAGCTTATTAATTTTATTTTAATATATCCCATTTTTCTTCCTGATCAGGGACTCAGAGTGGAACCTCTCCCTACAGGATGGGGCCACATGCCGTACTACAGCTTATTGATTGATTTTATTTTACTATATCCCGTTTTTCTTCCTGATCAGGGACTCAGAGTGGCTTTTCACATTCCCCCCCCCCCCGCCTAATTTTCACAACCACCACCGTGTGAGGGTAGGTGAGGTTGAGAGGCTGCAATGGGCCCAAGGTCGCCCGGCGGGCTACCCTGGTTGAGCGAGGGATTTGAACCCAGTGGCCGTAGGTCCTAGTCTGATGCTGTACCCACTGTCCCGCACAAGCTCCAATCCAGTGCCGGCCTCCCTCTTACTGTGGGCTTCTCATCTTAAAACCCTCCAGGACCTCATTGAAAAAGTGGTAATCTTGCGTAAGGCGGTGCAGCTGACGCAGGCGATGGATGCGGATGCCGTTGGGGCCCTTCTGGCTGAGAAGATGAGCCAGTATGCCAACCTGTTGGCGTCCCAGGGCAGCATTGCGGCTGCATTGGCTTTCCTCCCTGCTAACACCAATCAGGTAAGGGAGAGGTTAACTCTTTTTTAAAATTATTTCTTTGTTCACCTTGTACTTGAGGTAGATCAAGATGGGTAGCCATGTTAGTCTGTCTGTAGCAGCAGCCGCCGCCGAGGAGGGGGATTTATACCCCACCCTTCACTTGGAGTCTCAGAGCGGCTTACAAAATCCTTTCCCTTCCCCTCCCCACAACAGACTTGAGGCAGGTGGGGCTGAGAGAGCCCTGAGAGAACTGTCCTTGAGTGAACAGCTCTGACAGAACTATGGCTTGCCCAAGGTCATCCAGCAGCTGCAAGTGGAGGAGTGGGGAATCAAACCCAGTTCTCCCAGATTAGAGTCTGCGCACTTAACCACTACACCAAACCGGCAGAAAAGAGCTAGAGCCCAGTAGCACCTGAAAGACTAACAAAATTTGTGGCAGAGGATGAGCTTTTTTGAGTCATTGCTCACTTCTTCAGATACTTGATATATGAAGAAGTGAGCAGTGACACACAATGGCTCATCCCCTGTCACAAATATTGTTAGTCTTTAAGGTGCTTCCAGACTTTCGCTCTTTCCTCCTTATACTTGAGAAGCAGGGTTGAACTGAATGGGAAAAACATCTCTTGCAATGTAAGTACTCAACAAAGCTGCCCGTTGAAAGACAGACTTCTAGCTCGCCGCGTGCTGTCACTCCAGTACGTACCGACAGTTTGTGGGGTTTGGGGTTTTTTTGGATGGACGTAAAAGGAATCCTAGAGAGGAAACAATACATGATACTCAGTGCCAAAAAGGTGTCAGTGCATTTAGGAAAAGACTTATCGTGGGAGCCAGGACTCAGCTGGAACTGTGGAGCACCTTGGCTTGACAGGATTATTATTATTATTCATCTTACTTATTTCGTTTATGCCCACCTGTCTCTCCAATGGGGATCCAAGGCAGATTACGTTGTCTTCCTCTCCTCTGTTTTATCTTCATAACAACGGGTGCTTCCAGACTTTCGCTCTTTTCTCCTTATACTTGAGAAGCAAGGTTGAAGTGAGTGGGAAAAACGTATCTTGCAATGTAAGTACTCAACAAAGCTGCCCGTTGAAAGACAGACTTCTAGCTCGCCGCGTGCTGTCACTCCAGTACGTACCGACAGTTTGTGGGGTTTGGGGTTTTTTTGGATGGACGTAAAAGGAATCCTAGAGAGGAAACAATACATGATACTCAGTGCCAAAAAGGTGTCAGTGCATTTAGGAAAAGACTTATCGTGGGAGCCAGGACTCAGCTGGAACTGTGGAGCACCTTGGCTTGACAGGATTATTATTATTATTCATCTTACTTATTTCGTTTATGCCCACCTGTCTCTCCAATGGGGATCCAAGGCAGATTACGTTGTCTTCCTCTCCTCTGTTTTATCTTCATAACAACCTTTTGAGGGAGAACATAGAACATAAGAACATAAGAGGAGCCAATGTTGGATCAGGCCAAAGGCCCATCCAGTCCCAACACTCTGTATCACACAGTGGCCAGAAATACCAGGTGCCATCAGGAGGTCCACCAGTGGGGCCAGGACAGTAGAAGCCCTCCCACTGTTGTTGGGTGAAGAAGTACCAGGGGGTCCAATTCTATGAGCCCTAATAGAAGGTGCCCCCATACTCCATTATTTCCAGTGGAGGGAAATCATTTGAAAGGAATGCAGTCCCTTTAAATGCAACGGCAGCTCCCCCGGCACGCACTTCAGAGTTCCCTCTCCCAGAGCCTTCCCTGCCCGCTCGTCGGCCTCACCTGGCAACCCTAGGTGCCACGGGACCCCTGTTGTAATGCAAGTCTTTTAGCTATAGTGAGGGCACAGAGTGCCCGTTTTCGTTGACCATCAGTCAGCCTCCGAGAGATGGGCCGAAAGTTTAAAAGTACGTGAGCCATCCTCAAAAATCAGCAAACATTCTAATACAAAACTGAAAGAAGTAATAACTTCCTCCCAGAAGAATTGAATGACTGGAGGTGCCCAAAGCACATGTTTAAGGGATGTGCCCTGTGAGCGACACAATGCCAGCAGGTCCAGGCTCATGAATGTGTACTTGATCTGATACAGCCAGGCCCATGTGGTCATTTCTGGTTTTCTGGTTCGCAGCCCAACATCGTGTTGTTGCGGGACAGAATTTGTAGAGCTCAAGGAGAACTTCCCGCGAGCCAGGAGGCTCCCAAGGCCCCTTATGAGAGGCAGCCTGCAGACAAGGGCAGAGGTGGGCACGCGGCCGGACAGATGCAGATGCCACAGGTCCCGAGCCAGCAGTATTACCAGCAGGCAAGTGACATTTTCAGCAGCCACACTCACCCTGATCGTTACGCTGCTCCACAATTGTTATCGAATTGTTTGTTTTGGTTTTGCATCCCATGGTGCTGGCAGTGTGTCGGTCAAGGCTTCTGAAAGGGGGGCGGGGTGGCCAGAACCAGCAGGCAAGTGACATTTTCAGCAGCCACGCTCACCCTGATCGTTACGCTGCTCCACAATTGTTATCGAATTGTTTATTTTGGTTTTGCATCCCATGGTGCTGGCAGTGTGTCGGTCAAGGCTTCTGAAAAGGGAGTGCGGTTGCCAGCCTCCAGGGGGCACCTGGAGATCTCTCGCTATTACCGTTGATCTCCAGATGACCAAGATCAGTTCCCCAGGAGAAAATGGCTGCTTCGGAGGGTGGAGTCTATGGCATT